TACGCCTGTTACCCCCAGCGGCGTAGAGGCCGCCCACCAGTTTTCTCCAACCAACTCTGTCCTGGGCTTCCCTTTCCAGTTCTGTCCAATTTTTGTTCATTCTTCTCATATCTTTCTCAATTTCTCGGCGTAATGTGTTCCTTGAACTTCCTCTTTTACTTTTGCCTTGAAGGTCCCAAGTGAGGGATTGTCTTGTGATGCAGTTAGGTGCTTTTCATAGTGTGTGTCCTACCCACTTCCACCGCTTCTTCTGTGTGCTTATGTGGTATGGTAATTCGAACTGGAGGTTAATTTTTTTCTCCACGGTAGGTTGTTAATAACAATGTCCAATCAATAAATTCGGAGTAAACTGCGTAGACAATTGTTTATAATCTCCTGTATCTTTTGGATGATGACTTTCATAGTTCTCCGAATTTCCGCTCCATACAGTAGAACTGTTTTGATGCCCGTATTGAAACTTCTGACCTTGGTGTTGGTTGAATTGATAGTTGTTTTAAGTTCCGAATGTTCTTCAATTATAGAAATCCTATGACAAAAAGTCATATCATACTGATGATGATGTAAGAAATGTAGAATTTCAAATGATCTCTCTCTCTGTCTTTTGTAATAGTTGTTGTTGGTCTTAGAGACCTGGCGGCGTGACCGCAGAACCTAAGGGACAACGGCATGAGGCCGGTCATGCACGGCCTTTTTATGAAAAGTTTTTAAAGTGTTGGCTCCGCTCTTGTTTAAAGGCCTTACCACCGAAATCCGTGAGGTAAGGTGAAGTGTGACATTTTTAGAGTCAACTTCTTCTAACCCCTTCCTCCCTGTTTGAGAAGACAGCAGCATTGCACATATGCTAGTTGTCCGAAGGGAAACACCTTTCTGCTGTCACATCCCCTTTTACAGTCAGCAGTACGACTTCGCCCTTGTTAGGATATTCATCCAATATCCTAAGAGAATTATTTGTCAAACCCTATTGGTCGATTTCTATTGGTCAAAATTATGGTCGTTATAACTGTCAAAGTCAAATACTTCAATGTTGTTTCTTATTGGTTGTCCTGACTGTCAATGTCACTTCAAATGTTACTTCCTATTGGTCGTCTTTACTGTCAATGCCACAGAATTCGATGCTGTTTCCTATTCGACCAAAATGTATGAAGACGCATTATCTGTAACGTTTATTGACCACGACCAGGACCAGGGCTCGGTTCCGGATCCCTAGTCCGGGATCCTGATTCTCTTCTGGATTCGGACCTCGTACTTTCTGGATGCTTGTAGAATACACGTTCTACTTCATATCACGTCTTCTTATTTTATTTCATTATGGGGGTCTAGGATAATTGAATTTGAGTAGCATGTCGTGTCGCCGGATCCTCGATCCTCGCTCTCGTTTTCCGTAAACTCGTAATAGTTCAAGTGTATAAAGTTGACGTGTTTACGTGCAGGCGTAACAGCCCTCAGGCATTGAGTAGCTGCTTTTAGTTTCACTGTTCTCTAATCGACCTGTCTGGCATGGTAGAACCTACAGGAACATATGTTCCAGCGCAGTCTATCCCTTCATGGGTAGCAGCTACGGAATTTCAAATGATTTATCTGTTTGTCTGTGTTGTCGTTGTAGTTGTTATTGCGACGATCAACTTAATTCAAATATCGATCCATATTAATTCATCCTACCAGTTGATTCTTTTAAAATATGAAAATTCTTGAACAGATCTATGCATATCTATATATGTGTGTATGCATGTCTCTCAATCAGTAGTAGCATTCACAACACACACACACACAATTAAAATTAGGAATACCAGTTACTAATGACAACTGGAGGGGAAAAAAATCAACAGTAAGGCAATGTACTTCCTACTCCTATTTCTTTCATCAATAATTATTACCTTATTTTTTGGGAAAAAAACTACACCAAAAAGGTAGTTAGTAAGTAGTTCAGTGAACAAAATCATTTACTTATTCATGGTTACCTAGGTATATATGTATAAATGTACCTATTAGGAAAGTTTTTCCCACCGTTCATTCATTCATTCTGGCATTTCCCTTCTCCTATCATTATTCCCTCCCTTATTTATACATTCCTCTCATATCTATTCTATATATATGTATATTTTTAATTAGAATAAAAATATATTACTTTTTTCTCAGTTCATAAGTAGTATCTGTAGTTGTTTTTGTCTCGTTTCTATTGATTTATTTGCAAATAATTCAACTCTTGTTTTTTTGATTAATGACAAAAGTAAATACATTTCAAAAATTATTGATTTGTGTAAAAATCTGATCATGATTTAAGTTATGAGTTTAAAGACCGAGGGGAAGGTTTATGTCCTTAAGGGGGGATACTTTTAGTTGTATATTACTTACTTACTTACTTACTTACTCCTGTTACCCACAGTGGAGCATAATAGGCTGACGACCAGCATTCTTCAACTTATTCTGTCCTGGTGTGGTGCGCGCTACTTATAAGTAGTAGGAAATGACGCGAGTGTAAACGTAATGTCTGACAGCAGGAGATGGCGGAAGATCAAGAAAGGGAGGAAGAGTCGGAACACAATGGAATTTGTATGAAACGCATGAATATGTGAAATGTCAGACAATGGATTGATGATGGATTGGATTGAAGATTTGGAAATTAACGGTTACGATATGGTTTTCCTATTTTACTGAGTAACTCTGTAATTTTTGTTAAATACAATTCGATTGCCCTCACCTGTGTTCTCCTTCATTACACTGGGACTTCTTTTCTAGTTCTGTCCAATTTTTGTTCATTCTTCTCATATCTGTCTCCATTTCTGGGCGTAATGCGTTCCTTGGCTCTCCTCTTTTCTGTTGGTCTTGAGGATCCCAGGTGAGGACTTGTCTTGTGACGCAGTTGGGTGCCTTCCTAAATGTATGTCCTATCCACTCGCAATAATTCTTCCTGATTTCCTCCTCCTCAGGAATATGGTTTGTTCTTTCCCACAGTAGGTTATTACTGATGTTGTCTGGCCAAAGCATCCGAAGTATTTTGCGTAGACAACTGTAGGCACATGTGATTTATTCTATGATACGGTTCGTAAGTTGAAATGGTTGTGATACGTGTTATGTATGCCCAACCACCGACTGCCTCGACAACGGATGTTTTGTGGTGTCGGAATAGGTTAGAAGGAGGCTAGAGGCGACCGGACCAAAATGTGGTCTCAGTCTATGAAGTCTTTAACGATTGAACTGAGTCATGTTGGTAGATGTAGACTACCTGGTTGAGGTCCGCGAGACGAAAGTCACCAATGGTTAGAGACCTTGAACGACATGGTTTAAAATCGGTTGCAATGGCGCAAAAGCATCCATTCATTGAGCTCTCTCAAATCCTAATCTTCTGGAATCGTCAGCACCTCTACCTTTGTCTTCTAACCTCATCTGACTGAATTATACTTCTTGAATAATATCTTCAAACCCTAGTCTTCTTCATTACCATTAATACCTCTACTATCTCTATCACTATGGGATTTGATTTGACATTTGCGTCTCTGTGCTAATAATGTGGTAGGGCAACATGAACTGATGTACGTACATATGTACGAAGTTCTACGTTGCAACTGACTGATTAGAAACCGGGAAGCACTGGACGACTGTTTCATCCTAGTTTGAGATTCATCAGTGACAGTGCACATCCTTGACTCCTGCTACTTGCAGGATTTGAACTCAGGACTTCTGGTCTTGTGCGCTGATACTTAACATCTGAACAACTGAGCCAGCCAATATCCAACGGTGTTAATGTCGAATTTTAATCAATCCACGTTCTTGAACAACTTCATCCACCATCTTTAGTGAGCGCTACTTCACTGGTCATGACATCTCACTAGAACTCGGAAAATCTTCTTCTTCATGGAATTAGTTACTAACTAGTAAAGACATGATAATTTGGATTATATATAAGGTTGTGAAGATTGTTCAGTTACTTTTGAAATCATAAACCAATCAATGTTAGATGTTAGGATATTCATCCAATATCCTAAGAAAATCATTGGTCAAATCCTATTGGTCAAAATTACGGTCGTTTTAATTCTCAAAGTCAAATACTTAAACGTTGTTTCTTATTGGTTGTCCTGACTATCAATGCCACTTCAAATGTTACTTCCTATTGGTCGTCTTAACTGTCAATGCCACAGAATTCGATGCTGTTTCCTATTCGACCAAAACGTATTAATACGCATTATTTGTAGCGTTTTATGACCACGACCAGGACCAGGGCTCGGGCCCGGGTCCCTATTCCGGGATCCTGATTCTCTTCTGGATTCGGACCTCGTGCTTTCTGGATGCTTGTAGAATTCAAGTTCTACTTCATATCATGTCTTCTTATTTTTACTCAATATTTGGGGGTTGTAATAATCGGATTTGAGTAACATGTTGTGTCACCGGATCCCCGCTCTCGTTTCCGACTAGGTAAACTCGTAATAGTTCAAGTATATCAAGTTGACGTGTTTACGTGCAGGCGTAACATTAGACCACCTCTATCAACCTGCTAGTAGCGGGAGTCGTAGATGCGCGCACTGTCAATCATGAGTCATTCCATACCAGAATGAAATGGCCATCCACTGCTTGTTCCAAGTTTCTTTCTAATGGTAATGATCTAGCGCTGATCAATTCATGGTTTCAATAAAACAATTCAACAATCTCTCCACACTGATATTGTAGTGAAGGAGAACACAGGTCAGGGCAACCGAATTGTATTTATCTCAAATTACAGAGTTACTCAGTAAAATAGTAAAACCATATCGTAAACGGTTAATTCAATCCAATCCATCATCAATCCATTGTCTGACATTTCACTTATTCATGCATTTCATACAAATTCCATTGTGTTTCTTGATCTTCCCCCATCTTCTGCTGGTAGACATTACGTTTTTTTACTCACGTCATATACTACTTATAAGTAGCGCGCACCACAACGATATTTCTAATGTATATTGAAAATTGAACAACTGATTATTATTATTATTATTACTATTAATTGAAAATAATTTTCTTTTCAGTGTATAAAATATGAAACAATGTTATCAAATATGCAAGCAAAATTAACATGTATCATGGAAGAACGTGATTTGTTGATGAATCGATTGAGCGAATTAACTCTTGCCACTAGTAATAATAATAATATTCAATCACTTTCCAATACAACAACAACAACGTCACAACCATCAACTGTAACCATAACAGAAGATCTTTCATCATTGTCTTTGACAACACAGACGACAACAGTAGCTTCCTCGATATCACGTCCAATTATGGGTTTGAATCATCGATCTGTTCAAATGAAATTTAATGGGAATAATAATTTGTCATATTCTATGCCTAACACCACTCATCATCCACCGATGTCTTCAACCACAACAACAGAAGTTTTAATGTCGAAACAACAAACAAATGCTGAACAGAATGCTACCGACCAATTACATAAGGTAAGTAATATGTGTATATATGTGTGTTCTCCTTATGTATATATCTATATGTTATCTCCTCTGGTTCTCGATACATTCTGATCCACATCGTACATTCTGGCGTCCAGACACTCATCATTCATTCCTTGAACACCAACCTTTAGGTGATGTTTGGCTGCATAATACTTATATGTCATCCTTATTAAGACTAGCATTCACCATCAACTTTTAAATGTAGGTGACAAAGTTCATGTGTGGAGACTTTGACTTTATTTATTTGCATTACGGGGTTGTGAAGATTGTTAAGTTACACATTTTTGAAACCATGAATCGACCAATGTTAGACCACCATTAGAAACCTGGAAGCACTGGACGGCCGTTTCATCCTGGTATTGGACTCCTCAGCAGTGCAAATCCACGACTCCTGCACCCCGCAGGATTCGAACGCAGGACCTTCGGTATTGTGCGCGAACGCCTAACCTCTGGATCAATGAGCCGGTATCTAACGGTGTCAATGTCTAACTTGATGGTTTCAAAAATGTGTAACTTAACAATCTTCACAACCCCATAATGCAAATTACCTGTGTTCACTAGTGACTAGCTTCGTGAGCACATATCTTCTCCAAGTTCTAGTAGTGGGAAGACGTGACCAGTGAAGTTCAACCTGTTCGGGTGTAGACAGTAACTACCGAAGAGGTTGCGCAATTCCGTGAATTGATCAAGCACAATACCGAAGGTCCGGGGTTCGAATCCTGCGGAGTGCAGGAGTCATGTCTGCGCACTGCTGAGGAGTCCCATACCAAGACGAAACGGCCGTCTTACAGTGCTTCTGCCAGGTTTCTCTAATGGTGGTCTAACATTGATCGATTCATGGTTTTGAAAGATTAATTATCGTTTAGAAACTTGATCTGTTTACTTGAAGTTATTAAAATAGTATTTGACGAAAAAAATTGACATTCCAATGTCTGAAAATTAATTTTTTTTTCTAAGGAGAAAAAAAGTTCGTTTGGGTTTTTTATTTTTCCCAATGAATTCGTATCCTTAATCATGTCCACTAACAAAATAGTTTGTCTCTGTTTTAACTACAACAAATCAAAATAGTTCATACAAGAAAAATAGTTTATTCTGTCTTAGATTGCGACAAATAAAATCATGTCCGTTTAAAAATAACATACTGTACAACAATCTGCATAACTCTATGATGGAATATTACTTACTTACTTACGCCTGTTACCTCCAATGGAGCGTAGGCCGCCCACGAGTTTTCTCCAACCAACTCTGTCCTGGGCTTCCCTCTCCAGTTCTGTTCAATGTTTGTTCATTCCTCTCATATCTTTCTCTATTTCTCGGTGTAATGTGTTCTTTGGCCTTCCTCTTTTTCTTTTCACCTTGAGGGTTCCATGTGAGGGCTTGTCTCGTGACGCAGTTGGGTGCTTTTCGTAGTGTATGTCCTATCCACCAGCTCCACCTCTTCTTCCTGATTTCCTCCTCCACTGGAATCTGGTTTTTTCTCTCCCACAGTACGTTGTTGCTGATGGTGTCTGGCCAACGAATCCGAAGTATTTTGCGTAGACAACTGTTAATAAATACTTGTATCTTCTGGATGTTGGCTTTGGTAGTTCTCCAAGTTTCCGCTCCATATAGTGGAGGAACTGTCTTCACATTTGTATTGAAAATCCTGATTTTTGTGTTGATTGTTTGAAATTCCAGATATTTTTCAACTGTAGAAATGGATCCTTTGCTTTGCCAATCCGCGCCCTCACATCTGCATCGGCTCCTCCTTTCTCGTCATGGAATATAGTACAATGTAATCACTAATGACTACTAGCTTTGTGAGGAAATTCTCGGAGTTCTAGTGAGAAGACGTGACCATTAGAGTGCAATTCTGCCGGGTGTAAGGTGCAGTAATTATCAAAGACAAATGAATGAGGTTGCTTAAAATCTCTAGATTGATCACAGTTATCAGACATTAACAACACCGTTGAATACCAGCTGACTCAGTGGTTCACAGGCGTTCGCACGCAAGACTGAAGGTATTTGGTTTGAATCATGTGAGTAGCAGGAGTCGTGGATGGGCACTGTTGATGATGTGTAGTCCTATACCAGGACAAAATGGCCTTCCAGTGCTTTTCTAATTGTTATACTCGTCAATCGATATGCTCGAAACTATTACGAGTTCACCTTAGTCGGTAAACGAGAGCGAAGACTAATGATCTGATCGAAGGCTCCACTAAGTAGAGCAAGAAGTCTTGACAAGATGTAGAAAGTGTATTCTACAAGCATGCAGAAAATATGAGGTTTCTCCAAGCATATAAATCGAGTTTATTTATACTTGATAGAAACGTCCTTGGGAGAGCCACAAAAATAGCGTATTAAAAATAATACATCAACAATAACAGTCAAGGATTTTCTGAGAGGGGATATCTAATCTTAAGGTCAACTGATCAGCTTATGTGTGAAACCACAAAATCCAAATTTAACACCTTCATCAAGTAAGTTCTGCGGGATCTAACTTTCCCAACAATGAGGTTGCTAAAATTGCTCAGATTGATTAAAGTTATACATTAACACAGTTGTGTGCCGGTCAGTTCAATGGTTCAGAAGTTAGGCGTTCACCCGGAAGACTGAAAGTCATCGATTCGATTCTTTTAAGTAGCGGTAGTCGTGGATGCTCATTGTTGATGATGATGAAGTAGTAGTCCTATACCAGAACAAACCCAGCCGTCCAATACTTCTTCCAGTTTCCTTAATAATAGTCTAACATTACGGGGTTGTGAAGAATGTTAAGTTACACATTTTTGAAACCATGTATCGATCAATGTTAGACCACTATTAGAAACCTGGAAGCACTGCACGATGGCCGTTTCGTCCTGGTATGGGACTACTCATCAGTGGCAGTGCGCACCCACAACTCCTGCACCCTGCAGGATTCGAACGCGGGACCTTCGGTATTGTGCGCGAACGCCCTAACCGTTAGTCTAACAATAATTCATTCATAAGTTCGCGGTAAAAACAGAGAGATTCCATTTTCCTTTAACGTATATGAAATTTGTTTATTCCGGCCTTTTCTCTCTCTCTTGATTTACTATTTATTTCATAAATATCAGAGTACTTAACTCGATTATTATCAGTAGTAGTATATTCTTAATTTGTCTGCCTAAACATATGGTTATCTGCTTACATTTATCTCAACCTACTGTTAATTATTATTATTATTACTATTATCAACCTTACTATCAGTGGAATTTATTATCGGTTCAAAGACAACATAATTCTATCGAATTCTATATCTGTCTGTGTTTCTTTGAAGAAACACAATGAAAAAGGTTCTCATGTACTTGAATGTACGTATGTGTGTGTGCGTGTGTGTGTAATTGGGCTTACCGGCAAAAATGCATTTTTATTATTGGTAGTACTACTACTACTCCTACCACAAATAAATAAATAATCCTCGTCGACAACTGATAACACTCACTGCACAATCTGTGTGTACTTGTATGTGTGTGCGTGTGTTTGGTGAAGATTTTTATCTTTTAACAGGAATCAATGAAATGCATTTTTTAACTCTCAATTTTTTATTCTTGCGATTGTGGTTGTTTGAGTTGTTTCGTATTGCACGCAATCACGTTATATGTTTGTTTCTCTATTGATCGATATGTGTATGTGTGTGTTTATCTATCCATCATAGTGTGTGTGATTTGTTTTACATATTGATAGATTAACAGACAGACGCAATGTACACACACACAACACAGACACATAAAGCATCACGATAGTTAGACAAACACATGCAGATTTATTTGTTTGTTCCTTCACGGAAAAGATTCTATTTTCCTTCAGTTATTTATTAATATACTACTTAAACCGCATTTATTAGTTTTTTTCACTTAACCATACTGAAAGAAAAATAAATTTTATAGACATAAAACTGCCCCAAAAAAAATAATGTCTACATTTAATCTCTCTCTAATGGATTGATGAATGAAAAGTGACGCTGTATACACTTTAAGTTTAAGTTTAAGCCTCTTGTGTATTTTGTCTGTTTGCTTTAGTTCAAAGGAAAACATACAGTTTATTTGTTTCATACTAGTTAGTTAGTTTGCAGTAGTGTAGGAGTTACTATTTTGAAAAAGGTGATTGAATCATTATTAGAGATCAATATTAGAAAGAAACCTCAAAGAAGACAGACAAGTGCAGCGCAGAAAGAACTTCGTACGTAAATACATCAGTTCAGGTTGCCATACCACATCAACACAGAGACGCAACAGTCAGTTCAAATCCAACAGTGACAGTGATAGTAGAAGTATTAGCAGTAATGGAGAAGATTAGGGAGCGAAGATATGATTCGAGAAGTAAAATTCAGTAAGATAAATTTAGAAGGAGAAAGACAGAGATTATGAGGAATACAGAAGGTTAGAATTAGAGGGAACACAAGGAGTGGATGCACCTGTGCCATTGAAAACGATTTTGAGCCATGTCGTTCAAGGTCTCTAACCATTGGTGACCATCGTCTCGCGGACCCTAACCTCGTAGCCTACATCTATCAACATGACTCAGTCCACTTGTCAGTGATTTCATGGATTTGTGCCATGTTTTGGTTTGACCGCCCCTAGCTTTCTTCCAACCTACTCCTACTCCCACAAAACATAGCTCGTCGCGGAAGAAGAACTGTATTGGCCTTCCGTTTCGTCCTACGTAGTATAGGACTACTCATCGGTGGCAGTGCACATTCATGACTCATGCTATACTCGCACAGGATTCGAACTCAAGACCTTTCGGTTTTGCATGCACGAATGCTTAATGTGTGGTAGTTATGACTGATAAAATAGTTCATCGTTTTGTTTAAATATCACTGGGTTAGCTTATTTTTTTTAAAAAATTCTTACTGAAAGAATAAGAAATGTACAGATCGAAAGTTTAAATAAATCGTTATTAAGTGAGCTAAAGTTTATTAAGAGAAGTTGATTAGTTTTCACCAATAAGCGACTTTACAGTCATCGTTAGACCACCATTAGTAACCTGGAAGCATTGGACAGCTATTTCGCCTTTGTAGGGGACTCTTCATCAGTGAGTGCCCATGGGAATCGAACGCAAGACTTTCGGTCTCCATGCACGAACGCTCAACTTCTATACCACTGAATCGGCTCGCATCCAGAAATGTCAGTGTCTAACGTTAATCAATCCGAGTTATTACGTAACCTCTCCCAAAGTCTTCGGTAGGTAATTGTCTTCATCTGATAGGGTCGAACTCTACTGGTTACATTTTCTCACTAGAACTCTGACAATTTCCCCAGGAAGCTAGTCATTAATAAGTTCATTATAGATCTGCAAATTGTTGAGTTTCACTGCAACCATGAAATTAATGGAGCTGATCCCTGTCAGATGTGAGACAGTTACCTACCAAAGGCAACGAATGAGGTTGCACAGGACCGTGGATTGCTCGGACAATAACACTGTTAGAGGCGGGCAGTCTCAGTGGTCTAGAGGTTGGGCTTTCGCATACGAGATCGAAGGTCTTGGGTTGGATCCTCGCGAGCGAGCATCGTGGATGCACACTGCCGAGGAGTCCCATACTAGGGCGAAATGGCTGTGTAGTACAGTGCTTCCACGTTTCTAATGGTAGTCTAAAAGATGCCGACCCAGCGTTAACGGGCATAACCGAAGGTCCTGGATGAGAACCCCGCTAGTAGCACGAGTCGTGGACGCACACTGTTGATAAGTCCCATATCAGGACGAAACGGCTATCCAATGCTTCCAGGTTTTTAATGCTTATCTAACAATGATTGATTGCTGAAATCGATGCGTAAATACTCAGTATAGTTGAAGCACCACTCCTTGTCACTAACTAACTCTCAAATATTACTTTCGGAGTTGCTTTTTTTTCAAAGAAACAATACAAGATGTGCATTACGGGGTTGTGAAGATTGTTAAATTACACATTTTTTGAAACCATGAATTGATCAATGTTAGACCACCATTAGAAACCTGGAAGAAACACTGGACGGCCGTTTCTTCCTGGTATGGGACTCATCAGTGGCAGTGCTCATCCGCGACTCCTGTACCCCGCAGGATTCGAACCCAGGACCTTCGGTATTGTGCTCGAACGCCCTAAGCGTTAGACCACTGAGCCGGTATTCAATGGTGTTAATGTCTAACTTGATCAA